AACTCATGTTTAGAAGACATGAAAACCAACTTTTTCCTGTATAACCATGTAAGCCTTGTCATTTATGGCTTGACATTTATGTAAGGCTTATGTAAGCCTCGTCATTTATGTCTTGACGTTTATACATGGCTTATGTAAGCCACGTCGTTTATGATTTGACGTTTCTGTAAGGACTTTGTAAGCCCTGGCGTTTATACTTTGGCGTTTCTTTGAGACTTGTGTAGAGAATCGGTGGTGTTTACACTCATTTAGAAGACATGATAAACTCACCTCTTCTCTTGTAATTATGTAAGCCCCGTCATTTGTGTCTTGAAGTTTTTGTAAGGCTTTTAAATATATAAGACCTATCCTTTATGTTTTGATGTGGCTTTGTGTGAGTTCATCATCATCAGTAACGGAACTAGAAATTAACTTAAGGGGGGCACGCAAACCTACCGGACGATGGTGGAGGGGTGACTGTAGGTGGGCGGGTGGTTAGCGGTGAGAAGTGGTAATCCAACAGCAAGCTGGCTCCTGGCCGGAGTCTTGGCGATGTGTGTTCGTTGTTGATGCTGCTTCTTGTGAGTTTCCTGGCCGGGGTCTTGGCGATGTGTGTTCGTAGGTTTCAAAATTAATACTTTCAGAGTTTAGTTTGGGCCATCTGGTTGATTTCCTTGCTAAGCTATTGGGGCTAGGCTTAGCCCAGGGCTGTTCGTCGTTCAGCAGTTTATTTAACGAATAAAAGAAGGGAAACTACATACCCTCGCAGCTTCATTGTCCTCAGTAGTCTGTCACTAGAAAACTCACGGAACGGACAAGCCCGACTGCTCTCCCTACCTCGGACCGGTGAAGCCCCTTGCAGATCCGCCCCTGATCATCATCCATTATTGACTTCTCCTGTGTAAATATAATTTGGCGAAAGTCGGTCGTTGGTTAGAGGCCAGCGGCCCTGCGACGCTCAACTTAGTAAATATGTATAGTTATGTGTCTTGGAAGAGTGACTTCTTCAGCCCCCCATCAGGAAGATTTCGCAGGACTCCATTTGCTTTGTTACGTTGGGTCACTAGTCGAAAAACAATTAGAGACGCTTCGTTTGAGGCGCTTTTCAGCACAAGTGTCTCTATTTGGCGAATAAATTATTATTTTAAAATTTTTTGAAACTGTGCGGCGCTTATGGGAAAAAAACGCCTCTAATTATTTTTTGAAATATTTTTTTTTACATCGTGCGGCGCTTTCTTTTAAGAAGCACCTCCGATTTGATTCCCGATTTTTTTTTAATTCCGTCCACACGTGCGGCGCTTACGTAAAGAAGCGCCTCTAATTTCCCCGTTTTTTTTGGAATTGGGCCACGCGTGCGGCGCTTAGGCTAGAAGCGCCTCTAATTTCCCCGGTTTTTTTTGGAATTGGGCCACGCGTGCGGCGCTTAGGCTAGAAGCGCCTCTATGGAATTCGTTTTTAAAAAAAAAAGGATGGCGTGCGGCGCTTTATTGGTAGGAAACGCCTCCAATTTTAACCCAGCTATTTGGCCGGGTCGTCGTCCAAACCTAGCCGGCCTTCACTCACGCAGCTCCGAAATAGCAGCCGCACTGCGACCAGAAGGGAACTATCGACCGACCGCCGCCGGCTGCTTCCTCTTTGCCGCCGTACGCCTGCCGTCGGCTTCTTCTCCTGGTTATTCAACTTCTCTAGGCTCGGTCGCCGTCGATTCGTTGCTCGGCTGCACGCCTGCAACTACTCCGGCACGCCGTCGACTTTTCCGGCTCCCCATTGACTGCGCCGACTCTCCGCAGACTTCTCCGGCCCGCATCGCAGGTCAGTTCATTTTTTAATTAAGTTTTTGGTATATCTTGGTTGATTTCACTTTTATTTGATTTTAGTTTAAATTTTAGTTTAAATGTTTTCAGATTAATGTATATTTCCTATGATATCCATTGTTCCCATGTTTAGGCTTCCTTAATTTTTAATCAAGTGAGAATTATACTTGACATTGATAAAAGTGAGTTTATTTGTTAATTTTTTTGGCATATATATTATGTTTTTCATTTTATTTGATTTTACTTTGATTTTTTTGGACCGCTTCGGCTCACAGTTAATTATAATTTATTAATTGTTTATTTGACATGGTTATCAATGTATTTTATTTGATTATAGTATGTGTAATTATTTATTGTATTATGACATTATTGTGTGTATTTCTTTTTGTTTTTTTAATGTGAAAAGAAAAAGAGAAGAGAATGTGACCTGAACGCTTATCTGATTACAAAAAAAGACTCTGAATATAAAACCGTGACTTTCTTTTGGAAACGGAAGGAGTATATGATATTGCTTATATGCACATTATATGATATATGATTATCGGACAAATGTAGAATTTCGTTCAAAATGGATCGTTCTTGGATGTATGGACGTCGAGACACGTCTGAGTTTTTCATTGGTGCGAATGGGTTCATCAAAGCTGCCGTTACACACCAGAAACAACATGGACATAAAGGAATTTTATGTCCTTGTTTAAAGTGCCAGAACTTGAGAAGAGAGAGTGACACCAATGTTATACTTCAACATCTGTTTGAGAGAGGCTTTAGAGAAAATTACATCATTTGGACTTTACATGGAGAGACTTTCCAGGATGGTGACAATGTTGTTCCGCAAGCCGCCGCTAGTAATTTAAAGCGCAAAGCCCCCGATACTACCACCAACTTAAATTGGAACAATGAAAATAATGGGGATGATGATTTCAATGATGATCACATGGATGAGTTTTTGAAGGATGTACATGATAATTTTGAACAAAAACCAAAATCATATGAAAGTATTCTACCTCTACCTCCAGAATACCTTTGTATTCTACCTCTACTTTTACCAAGCTGTCTGCGGTTTTGAAGTTATTTCATTTGAAAGCAAAACATGGATGGAGTAATGTCAGTTTCACAGAGTTATTGACATTAATTCAAGAGATGTTGCCCGAAGGGAATACACTTCCTGATACCACTTACAAGGCAAGAAAGTTACTGTGTCCTATGGGAGCTGAATGGGAGAAATTCCACGCTTGTCCCAATGATTGTGTGTTGTACCGGAATGAGTACGAAAATCTTGATGAATGTCCAACATGTCATCTTTCTCGCTATAAGGCAAAAAGGAGTACAAATAGTGCTAGTGACACTGAGAGTTCCAAAATTCCTACAAAAGTTTTGTGGTATCTCCCCATTATTCCGAGATTTAAAAGGTTATTCATGAATGCAAAAGATTCCAAACATTTAGTTTGGCATTCTCAGGGTAGAAAAAAAGATGAGTACTTGCGTCATGTGTCTGATTCTCCGCAATGGAGGCAAATTGACTTGAAATATCCTGAATTCGGCAGAGAGGACAGAAATTTGAGACTTGGCCTATGCACTGATGGTATGAATCCATATGGTACACTCAGTAGTCAACACAGCACTTGGCCAGTTCTATTGGTTATTTACAATTTGCCTTCATGGTTGTGCATGAAACGCAAATACATCATGTTGTCTCTTCTTATCTCGGGACCCAAACAACCGGGTAATGATATTGACGTGTACCTTGCACCGCTTATTGATGATCTCAAACTGCTGTGGACCGAAGGTGTTACAACATACGACATGCATACCAAATCTTATTTTCAAATGCGTGCTATGTTGTATTGCACTATAAATGATTTTCCAGCATATGGCAATCTTTCAGGTTACACAGTCAAAGGTGCAAAAGCATGTCCTATATGTGAAGATGATACAGTTGATTTGCGATTACCTCACTGCAAAAAAAATGTTTACTTGAATCATCGAAGGTTTCTTCCGCGCACTCATCGTTATCATGCATTGAAGAAGGCATTTAACGGAAAAACTGAGCATGAAGTAGCTCGTCCACCATTAAATAGTCATGATGTGTATGATAGGGTGAAAGATTTGAACACAATCTTTGGAAAACCTTATAAGCGGAACAAGCAGAGCCTTTGGAAAATGAAATCTATATTTTGGGAGCTTCCTTATTGGAAAGACCTATCAGTAAGGCACTGTCTTGATCTCATGCACATTGAAAAGAATGTGTGTGACATCATCATTTCGACTATTTTGAATGTTCCTGGAAAGTCAAAAGACGACATATTAACATGAAATATGAATAGGAATTAATTAATACTCAAGGAAGAATATTAAAGAATATAAATCCTACTATATGATTAACATCAAGATGTTAACTAATTGTCATCTTAGTAACACTCCCCAATATTAACATAGAGGAAGAAATAACTATTACTATAACCAATGTCAAGATGTTAACTAATTGTCATCTTAGTAACACTCCCCAACTTTGATATAGAATAAGTATTTGAAAGGAAGAATTAATATTCAAGGAAGAAGATTAAAGAAAATAACTCACAACTTACAAATTCATTAAGCTTCAAAGTAGCAAAACCAAGATGGAAGGGTTTAGCTCCTCATTTGGAGACTAAACATGCTATAAAAATATAAGAAATGCTATTCTAAACTGAGCTTAGGAGTATGGAAGAAGGGATGCCTAAAAGTGAAGGAAAATGGGGCTATTTATAGGTGTTTTACAACACCTTTAGCCGGGTACCCGACCGGGTAAAGTGCCCACCCGACCGGGTGCATGTCAAAATCAAATATCCTCCACGTTCTGGTGATCTTCAGCATGTTAAAGTGTCCCGGGTCAAGTCAGACCCGACCGGGTGGGGTAGGGGACCCGACCGGGTGAGTGCACTTTCCAGGCACTTTCGGTTGTTGAATCAGACCCGACCGGGTGAAGTCTTCTACCCGGTCGGGTTTCAGCTCCTGGATAGTCCAATCTCCTTTTTCTTCACTTCAAAGTCCTCCTTTTCAACACCATAATTCCTAATTCTACTTTACAACTAATAAATGAATGTTAAAATACAATCACAACTAAATTCACACAAATGTTTACAAACTAAATAAAATGGTAAACAATACACACAAATCAATCATAAAAATATACATTTATGCACTACTAATTAGTGCATATCACTTAGCCATGTCCAGCTTCACAACAACATTAGATCCTCTAATTTTTCTGTCAATAGAATGAATCATCTCCTGGGCAATGAGGATGTGTTCTGAAATGTCCCTATTCTTCATGAAACCAATTTGTTCAGGAGAAATGAGTTTAGGAAGAATAACTGTCAATCTGTCAGTTAAAACTTTTGTGCAAACTTTATTGATGAAATTAGAGAGGCAAATGGGCCTAAAATCACCAAAAGTAGATGGGTTGACAGATTTGGGAATGAGCACCACTAGACAACTAGATACTCCAGGTGGAATAGACATTCCCATGAAAAAGTCCTGCACTGCTTTAACCATATCCTTACCCACAATTTGCCAGCATTTTTTGAAAAAATTTCCATTGAAACCATCTGGCCCAGGGGCCCCATTTTGATTTACACTCCAAGTTGCATTTTTAATCTCATCTGCCTCAGTAACCTGCATTAGCATGTCATTATCACTATCAGTAACAATTTGTGGAATGAACTGAAGGATATCATCTGATTCAATATGAGGATCCACTGAGTAGAGATTAGAGAATAAAGTAACAGTCTCTTTAGCAATATCTGACAGGGAAGTAATATTCTGGCCTTCAGATCCTGTGATGGTAGTGATATATTGTTTCCTCTGTCTAACTTTAACAAATGAATGGAAGAAATGTGAGTTAGAATCACGATCCTTAAGCCAGCTTAAGTGGTGTAAAGAATATTTGTAATTAGATTTTGATGATGCTATATTAATTAGGACTTTAAAGTACCCCTTTTAGAAATTATGTATTAGAATTTTCCTTTGTAAAGTTCTTAGCATAATCGACTACCAGAAGGCCTCCACACCAGAAGACCTCCTGACAGAAGATCCTTAGTTCTCTACCGAGGAACAGAAAACCTCAGGGTCTCTGTTAGCCTTTCCTTGACAGAAACCCTCCTGGCTCTCTGTAAGCTATTATCAACAGAAGTGCTCAAGACCTTCTCTGATCAGTTCTCTGTTAAAGACACCAGAAGGCCTGACACTAGGAAGAAATCCACAAAGCCGGGAAATCAACTGAAAGATTCCTTCAACGGCTAGGAGTATTGAACGGAAAAGCTACAGTACGCGCATTAAATACACATTTAATGCTCCCCATGCTCCGTGGAGTAATTGCAGATGATTGGCCGCAATGTCAGGATTACTTTATCCCAAAATAGTAACCCGCCAACTTTACCGGGTCCTACTGGTCAAGTCAACTGCTCGGGCATTAAATACAGTTGTCCTCCTTCACCTCCAACGGGAAGACAACCCTCAGTATAAAAGATACACTTCGAAGAACAACCGAATAACTTTTGCTCTACTAACTTTGCCAACTTCATCACATTCTTCGCAAGACAAACACATTCAAACTACACAAGGCAAAGAGGTTCTCTTGAGATTCAAACTCTTCATCCTCCACAAGAGAGACACAAGTCGGAAAGAATATACATTCCTATCATCTAATCCAACTAGAGCAAGGTTCCAATAGTTCTTCAACAACTTCAAGCACTTCATCTACAAATCCTTTGTAACGAAGCTAGTTGGAGGAACCCCTGTTTCAATAGAAACTCTTCTTATTACAAGAAGGACGTCCAAGTAACTGGAGTAAGTGAAGTGGTGATACTTCCGGGAAGCTCAGTGAAAGGACCAGTCTTAAAGGAAGCCAGGCAGTGCATCCCAGGAGACATCTAGACTTGAAGAAGACGTGAAGAGCTTCTGAAGTGCTAGGACTAAGGCGTTGTAAACGGTCGTTTTTACAAGCTTAGTGGAACAGTGGATTAGAGGAACGAGTTGTATCTTGAACCACTATAAAAATCCCTGGTGTCATTTACTTACTGCTTTAAATATTTGCACTTAGATAGAACTGTCTAACTCCTTAGACTTGGTATCTGTGTTCAGCAGAACTTGTCTTACGAGTTAACAGAAGGCCTACTGCCTTTGCTTTTCTGAGGCTAAATCAACAGAACCCCCAATCAGAACCCCATCCGCTGCCAGTCTGTTCTGTCAACAGAACAGGTTATTCTGTAATATCTGGTACTTAGTTTAAAAAGCTAAAAACCAATACAGTCTATTCACCCCCCCCCCCCCCTCTAGACTGTATCCAGTACAACTGGGACCAACAAGTGGTATCAGAGCCTCCTTGTTCTAATAATCTCTTAGGTTATTTGCTGAACAAAGATCCACTTGTCTTTCTGTTTGACCTCATTTTTATCTGATATAATGGATCACTCCTTGTCCAAGAATCTTATGTTCTCAGATCTTAAGTTTGATGACTGGAGGATCCGGATGAAAGCACATCTCTGTGCCCTGCATGATGAGATGTGGGAAGTTCTTGATATTGGACCTTTTACAAGCTTCCAGAAGGTCAATCCTGAGCATGTCATTGACAACACCAAACCCCAGATGATCAGTAAAGCCAAGTCAGAATGGACCACTGAAGAGAGAAGAAAATACAACCTGGACAATATTGCTAAGGACATCCTCTACAAGTCCATTGATGATAGGTACTTCAACAGAATAAAGAAGTGCAAAACTGCAAAGGAAATCTGGGATACTCTTGAGCTCATTGGAGCTGGTGATGAGCAAGAGAAGGACAACAAGCTGACTATAGCCAACAAGAAGTTTGATGATTTCAAACTTCTCCCTGGTGAAAGTATCTCCAAGATGTATGACAGGCTCCTCACTCTCACTGGAGAAATCTCTGAGCTTGGCAAGGAACTCACCACCAAGGAGATCAACCTGAAGGTGTTGAGGGGACTGCCCTCAGCATGGAAGATGAAGGTGGTTGCTGTCCAAGCCAGCAAGGATGTAAAGACTTATCCCACTGATAAGCTCATCTCTGATCTCAAAGCTCATGAGTTCGAGATGATTGAAGAAAAAGAAGATGTACCAGAAGAAAGAACCACCACAGCTCTTACAGCCAGTACATCTAAGGTAAATGACTTTGACCCTTCAATACTTTTATCTGACGAATATATGGTTGCCTTTGCCAGGAGATTCAAAAAGTTTATGAAGAATCCTAAAGATGGAAGAAGCCCATCTTCCAGCAGAAAACCTTACCAGAAGGTCAAATCAACAGAGAGCAGTGGAGAACTTCTCTGTTACAATTGCAGACAACCTGGTCACTTCAAGGCTGACTGTCCCCATCCAAGGGTGTCCAAGAAACAAGGACAGGATGGAGAAAAGAAGAAGTATGAAGACAACTCCAGAAGAAGAAAGGCACTTGTGACAGAACAGTTAGAGAAAGACCCTCTGTCAGAAACAGAATCCAGTTCTGACTCAGATTCTGATGAGGCATTCTGTTGCCTAGATACAGAGACAGAAGACCTATGCCTCATGGCTCATTCTGATGATGAGGTAACCTCTACTTCTGAATCTAATTTTTCTTCGGTAGGCTTAGCTTTTGATTCTGATTCAATGTCAGAATTTTGGGAAGTGTTTAAGGCCATACAAGCCACTTATTCCTCTGTAACAGAAGAAAAAAGTAAGTTAAAAGCTGAGATTCTTGACTTAAAGAAGGAGGTTGAGATCAAAATCAATCTTCTAATTAAGGAAAGAGATCAACTGGAGACTGAAAATGTTTCTCTTCTCAAGAGAATAAGAGAAATAGAGCCTCTCGAGATTAAGTACAAAGCTTACCAGAAGGCCCAGTCTTCCATGGAAAAGATTGTACTTGATCAACAGATTGGCACTGGTTTTGGTCTTGGTTATGGCTCAACAGAATCAGGTGAGCCTTCTGTAATGCCTAGCACCAGTGTTGCTAAGGCAGATAAGGTCATAGTGCCACTGATTTCTAGCCCCATTTGTCAAGCTGGTGTATCTGGCACCAAGGTTGTTCATGAGGAAGTCAGACCAGAAAAGGGAAAGATAAAGGTTCAATAGAAACCCTTTTTGAAAAATAATGAACCTGGCAGAAAACCTAACAACAGAAAAGGTTTTCAAGATAACAAAAATAAGAGACCATTCATTGACAGACAACCTCATGTCAATCGTGCCAGAAATGATCACCAGAAGGGCAAATATCAAGAGAGAGTTAACTTTAGGCAGAAGAGGTTGGCTGGTCAACTTCATAAGCCCAAAGCTAACCGTCCCTCTGCTCTTGATAGTATATGGGACTTCTTTCCAACAAAGAAATCTATGCAAAAGTATGTAAACAGGAAGCATGACCCTCACAAGCATCTGCCCAAAGTGAATCACACTTCAGTTTACTATAACTACCAGGTGGACAATGGGTACCACCCACCAAGGTTTCACTTGATGAGACCAAAATGGTACCAACTACCCAGACTCCATGACCCCCCAGGACCCAGCATTGCTTGGGTACCTAAACCTTCCTTTTAATCTTGCAGGAACTGAGTGCTGGAGCTATCTCTGAACAAGAATGGTTTATTGATAGTGGATGCTCCAGGCACATGACAGGTGACAGAAGTTGCCTAACTGAGTTCCAGAAATGCAAAGGACCTAGAGTTACCTTTGGAGGTAATGACAAAGAAGGTCAAACAAAAGGAAGAGGAAAGCTGATCAGGAACCAGATAATCATTGATGATGTCTCTGATGTCAAAGGACTGAAGTTCAACTTGCTGAGTGCTAGCCAATTCTGTGACAAAGGCTACACTGTTGAATTCACAAAGGACTTCTGTTATGTGAAGCATGAGACAACAAAGGAAGTGGTTCTTACAGCATCAAGAAAGAAGAACATCTATGTAGTTGATTGGAACACAGCAAAGGATGGAGTTTGCCTGATAGCCAAAGGAGATTCAAAACTGAGCTGGGACTCGCACAAAAAGCTCAACCATTTGAATTTCAAGACGATCAACAAACTGACCAGAGAACACATTGTAGAAGGGCTACCAGACATTGTGTACAAGAAGGAGACCCTCTGCAGTGCATGTCAGAAAGGAAAAAAAGTGAAGAACTCCTTCAAACCCATTGCTGGAGACCTCTCTACTAGTCCTTTAAATCTGATCCACATGGATTTATTTGGACCAGTGGAAAATCCAAGTGTTGGTGGCAAGAGATACACCTTAGTCATGGTGGATGACTACTCCAGATATACATGGACTATCTTTCTGACCAAGAAAAATGAAACTCTTCAGAAGCTGCCATCTCTGTTAAAGCAACTTCAGACTAAGAAGAACTTGAAAGTGAAGACAATCAGGTCAGACAGAGGAACTGAATTTGTCAACCAAGTCATAAAAGACTTCTGTGATCAGAATGAGACTTTTCATCAACTCTCTGCCGCCAGAACCCCTCAACAGAATGGCGTAGCAGAAAGAATGAACAGAACTTTAAAAGAAGCTGCAAGAACAATGATTGCTGAATCTGGTTTGCCTATGAGATATTGGGCTGAAGCAATCAACACTGCATGCTATACTCAGAACAGAAGCATGATCAACAAGAACCACCAGAAGACCCCTTATGAACTCTGGAAA